CCATATCTCATCATCTTTCAAGATACAAGGGAATTGAACCAGAGATAGTCTCATTGTTGCTCGAGTCTCTGTACGTTGATGATTTCGCCGGTGGAGCTTATGATGATGATGAAGCCTTACATATCTATCGCACATCTCACGATCTAATGGGCAAAGGTGGGTTCAAACTTCGAAAATGGCATTCGAATTCTGCCTCCATACGAGATTTCATTGCAACCCAAGAAGACGCAAATGGAAGTGCGAGAGACGAAGTAACGAACGCGAATTCAGAATCCACTTATCACAACGTCGATGTTGACGCAGAAGTACGTAAAGTCGAAGCCTCTTTGCCATGTTCATCATCGCAAGATTCTTCAGTATCGAAAAGCAATTGCGTTAAGATTCTCGGGATTAGTTGGAACGAGGACAGTGATGAATTTTGTTATGACCTCGGCGAATTAGTTGAATATGCGAAATCCATTCCCACAACTAAACGATCAGTGTTAAAGCTTTCCGCCAAAGTATTCGACCCCATTGGTCTTTTCTCTCCATTTACAGTTACCATGAAAATGTTGTTTCGGACACTGTGTACCACCAGCGTGAACTGGGATGACGAGTTAGATGGCAAAGCACTAACGGCTTGGAAATCTCTCGTAAAAGATTTACAAGCCCTGAGTGATATACGATGTTATTTTCAACGTCTAAACACGATGTTATTTTCAACGTCTAAACGAACTGTTTCGAACACACGAGATTCACGGGTTTTGTGATGCCTCTGATCTTGCGTTTGCGGCAGTGGTGTATCTTCGCACAGCACACAGCAATGGAGATATTGAAGTGAATTTGCTTGCATCCAAAACACGAGTTGCGCCTATCAAAAGACAAACTATACCACGACTTGAACTGTTAGGAGCAAATATATTAGCACGATTGGTCGATTCTATTATTCAAGCACTCACGTCGATTAAGGAAATTGCCGATGTTGTTTTATGGACAGTCTCGTTCACCACATTATGCTGGATCCGAAACCATAAAGCATGGAAGACGTACGTCCAGAACCGAGTAAACGAAATCAGAGAGTTAACAAGCAACTACGAATGGAGACATTGCCCGGGGGAATTAAATCCCGCTGATTTACCTTCTCGGGGATGCTCGGGACGTGAACTCGCCGAAGCTGAAACGTGGTGGAATGGTCCAAAGTTTCTCAAGGAGTCTAAAGATCAATAGCCAGTTGATCCACAACCTACGAGTAAAGACAACGACGAAGCTTACAATGAAGTGATGAAAAACCCACATCCAATTGTACATTCCTTGTCTGGAATATCGTTAAATGGTTCTGTCCATATTGAGAGAATTCTCGATCCTCAGAGATACAGCACGAAGACTAAGTTACCTCGCGTCACAGCATTAGTAATCCGATTTATAAAGAAGACTAGAAAACAACGGTGTACAATTTCACCTGAAGTAAACGCTGATGAATTAAAAGAATCCGAGAAATTATGGATCCGTAGTATTCAGTCGACAGACTTTGCCGAGGAGATCGAATGTATTCACAATGGTTGTATGAACTCACGAGTTAACCAGCTTGGTTTATTTGTCGATGACGATAAGATTATCCGTTGTGACGGTCGAATTGGCCACTCCACGATGCCTGACGATGCAAAGCAACCAATCCTTTTGCCCCCAAAGCAAGAATTTACCAGGTTAATCATTCGCGAAGCTCACGAGTTAGTACATCACGATGGAATTAGAGAAACTTTAAATTGCGTTCGAAGAAAATATTGGGTTCTACGTGGTCGAGAGAGTGTTAAAGGAATGGTAAGAAGATGCGTGACGTGTAAAATGTTTGAGGCTAAACCCTTTGCTGCAGCTAAAGAACCAGCTTTACCGTCAAGTCAGCGATGAGCCACCATTTAGCAACACTGGTATTGACTTTGCTGGTCCCCTATACGCTGTGACGAATCGAGAATCGAAGAAAGTCTATATCTGTTTATTTTCCTGCGCCTCTACTAGAGCCGTCCACCTGGAACTTGTCCCGTGTTTATCCGTATCTTCATTTCTTCAAGCCTTTCGACGCTTTGTTTCCCGAAGAGGTTTGCCATCACGATTAATAACTGACAATGCTAAGACTTTCAAGAGTGCATCCAAAGAAGTAAAGAACATCTTGCGATCTTCCGAAATTCAACAAGAAATGGCATCTAGAGGGGTGCAATGGGAATTCATCATAGAAAAGGCACCCTGGCAAGGTGGATTTTACGAACGAATAATACAGAGTACGAAGAGGTGTTTTAAAAAGATTCTTGGACGATCTTCTATGGACTTCGAGTCATTACGAACGCTCTTAGTGGAAATCGAAACGACGATAAATAATAGACCACTTACGTATGTCTATGACGATGAGGAAGGAGTGTCGTACCCCCTTACACCTTCTCAACTAGTCTACGGTAGACAAATCTCATTAATGCCAAGTGATCGACAGTTCGACATTGTCAGTACTAACCGATCATTGGCCAGGAAAGCGAAGAATCAAAGGCGTTTACTGGACCAATTTACTAATCGCTGGAGAACGGAGTATCTATTAAGCCTTCGAGAGACATCGCGCGTTCTTCATGGAACAGAAAAGGAAACAATAGCCGTTGGTGACGTAGTTGTGTTGAAGAATGACTCAACTCCACGAATGTTTTGGAAGCTTGCACGAGTCAAGGAGCTCATAAAAAGTCAGGACGGTGTAATTCGGGCAGCAAAGATTTGCGTGGTAAATTCGGGAAAAGGGCGTGTGATTGAATTACGACGGCCTATACAACATTTAATTCCTCTGGAGCTGAAATTGAGTCCAGATACAGAAAACGATGTATCTCCAGCGGTTGAAAGTGCACCGAAAGAAGAAGAATCGACCAGACAGCGACCGAGACGAAGTGCGGCGGTAGTTGGAGAACTTTTACGAAAGGGGATGAGATAAGTTCATTATAATCGTATAGTTAAAGTATATTTGATCACTCTGGGGTGATCAACGTCGGGAGTGTGATAAACTGTGAGACATGAACAGAGTTTCAATAACATTTGTTGCGTTTACTTTGAGCCTGATTGCAGGCTGTTGAACCTGTTCGCAGGCTAAACACGTGCGATTCGCTTTTACATACGGGAATTTTAGTATAAAAACAACAAGTTTCATATTCTTTCGATCGAACGTGTATTATCTATATTATATTCGATTATTCGAAGATATTTCGTTACGAACTCAGCGTTAGTTATGTTTAAGTCTTTTACCTTATTCTTTGATAGTAAAGTTATATAATTTTAATGTTATCCGTGTGTTAATTGAACGAACGTTAAGTATTGAGCGAGGAAATGCGATAAATATTATGCGACGTGCATAACAGTCTGTGAACACGAAAATATGAATATGGTCCCCCCACTTATCGATCTTTTGACGCCTATGAACAGTAAGGTGAATTCTAAAGGTCTCCTTTTATTGAGACACCCTCAGGTCCGTTGCGAGGACTTTGCTTGAGGGGGGGGGGGAGCTAAAATTTACCTTGAATTGTAAAAATTAACGGTTTCACCTGATTTTAGTCGCTAATTAATCATATCTTCATTTTAACGAAAATACTGCAACGTTTTTCTAGAGATATAGTTATTTTTCAAAATTCCTTTTCTCATGCCCTTAGAATTAACTGAATTTACCTGGAAATTTACCTGAATTTACCTGAAAATCTACTGCAAATCTACCTGAAACTGCTCATGAGCAATTATCAGGCGGTGTTAAACCCCCACACTCCCAGCTCGATTCGGCCCTGGACACCCTGTATTCTAATGCTTTACATTTATCTTTGTTTCATTCTCTGTACACTAGAACAATATAGTAACTAGGCACATGAGTTATCTAATGTTGGAAATTGAGTAACGAAAATGTAAACATCTGTAGCCAAATTTTCATTGTTCTTTTGGTCTGTGTCAATAGAGAGGCTCAGTTTTGACTTCCACTATTTAGTACGCATGCATCTGATTGGTTAATTGGATACTTCTAATCAATCTAATTGGTTAATGGACCCTTAATGGTGGTAGTAATGGAAGTTAAACCTGAAGCTCTCAAATAGCAGGAACCGCGGACAGCATAGAGCGAGGCCAGATAAATCTGTGTATTATATCACATAAAACCAAAATTAAATATTTCTGAAACAATTAAAAGGTTACCGCGTTCTCAATGCCCATTAATGAGTCGGAGTAGTATTTTTTACTGTCATCAGATAGATCATCGTTATAATCCAGGCCTTCCAGTACAACAAACTCCAGTTCGTAAACATACGCATCTAAGGAAAAAATAGTTTATCGCAAGTTTAAGGTCGGGTTGAAAAATAATTTGGTAGGTTGCAACGAAATCTCAGAGAAGTGGAACTTGGTTGGCCATGGGTAATACATTTCTATTTTTTCCATTTAGACTTAATTAAGAAATAACTTCTCCGGATGATAGGCTGTCTGTATTTCGTGATTGGTTGATGTTCCAAAATATAGCAAGACAAGAGTGGAAGAGTGGTCGTGTTAGATTCTATTGGGGGGGGGGGGGCATACTTCAATAAACGAAATTAAAATTTTGAATTTTGGGTGTCTGTATTTCCTGTACGTGGGGCATTTCCTGCATTGTGGAAGCGCTTGCATAACTAACGTTTCATGAGGACTGTTAAACATTACTTTCCGATCACATGACAATTGAATTCAGCGGGAGACATAGTAACATAAAAATTTATATTAGAACAAATTTAAGTAATTTATCTGAGTAGATGCGTGGAAGATACGCAACACTCTGACAATTTTTTACGCCTCCCCAATTTCCATTGCGTTTCAATGAATAAAAAAACTATACTCCGAAAAACAGTGAGAAAAGGGCGCTCCCACTGGCAGCATCACTGCCCAAAGATGAAGTAGGTTCAAGCTTTTCTGCAACTGGCAAGGTAAACCGTCATTGTCACAACAAATATAAACTATAAGAGTGTTACAAGAAGAAATACGGCTTACAAAGACATGCAGTTGAGAACAACTGTTAATTTTTATCTAATGTTTTGTTCCGCACACTTGTGAACTGAATTTTTCATTGTGAACGATTAGTAAGAAGAGAGTCGTAGAGAATAAAAAATTGCAGTAACGGTTTCTGGTTTCTGAATATTGATATTTGTATTCACTAAGGCCAACTTAACTTTGTCAGCGAATAAATGGATCAAAATTACAGTAATTCTTTATGATATTGGTATCGAAGGTACTAGACGTAGTTCAGAAATACCACACACTCGAAAGAACTTGGCCTCGTAGCTCAGTTGGCAGAGCATTGGACTAGTATCCCAAAGGTCGCGGGTTCGATTCCCACCGTGGCAGGCTAACTTTTCAGCCTGCATGCCCAGTGTGGATATACACTCAGAAAAACAGAAAAACACTAATTCTTCAATTGAAAAAAGTAAAAACTATCAGCCATGATAAACTGGAAACCTTTCTAAAAATACCAGGTCTAATATTAAACCACGAGGACAAAACATATATTGCAGGTCTATAGTTCAACCAAACAAAAGTTTACTGCTGAAACACACCGCACTGTTGTAACCATAATGCATACCTGCACAGTTATCATTGACAAGCCACTGACCAAATGGACAGAAACAAGAATAATTTCCATAGAGATCTCGACATTCCAAATTTGCGGCGCACACACCGGGTGTTGTCTGGCACTCGTTGATGTCTGAAACAAAATTATCGTCTTAGGTTATAAAATACTAAAACATGACTTTTACTGAACAAATGGTTATAGTACATAAATATTTTACAGACCATCTCGTATATGTAAATAGTTAGAAAAACACTATGGCTAGTCTTACGTAAAGTTCGTAGTATTTCTCGCAATAGATGATTCCAGCTATGACTAAATTTTGATCTAGGCAAGAAGAACAAAATCCATCATCACAGCTAGAAAGAACATGTTAAGATTAGTAACATTGCAAAGTTTGGTTGCGTAATGTTGTAAAATGAGGATGACATACCCCCGCGAAATTTGCGAATTTTGTATTAATTTGTATTGGCAAAATGCTTCACATTTGGGCCGAAAGTGGTGCACTTTCCCGTGCGAAATACAAACTATAATACAGAATTTGCAAATTCTGTAGGGCTATATTTTCTTCATTTTACAAGATTTTCGCAACAAAACTTTGCAATGTTACTAATTCTAAGATGCTCTTTCTAGCTGTGCTGATGGATTTCGTTTTTCCCGCCTAGATCAAAATTAAATCTATAGCTATAATCATCCATTGCTCGCACCCAGTTTTTACTAACTAAAATAGAGGACATTTCGTTGTCCACATTTTAGTTAAACTGGCTCCATATTCCATATTGGTTTTCAAATATAAATTTGGAGTTTTTGCATTTTTCAAATTTGGAGTTAGATCCATATTCTGATAAGTAGGTACCTGTGAATTACTGCTATATATAATTGTTACGAAGGTATATCTAAATAGTATAAAAATACTTCAGTTTGCACACCAGGTAATTATAGATATTAGTTACGTCAAATGGAGAGATAATGAGCATTTTTGCTGTAAAACGCAGATAAAGTATATATCATATCGGACTTGAGTAAAAGTGTCTATTATCTGTCCATTAGGCAAGATAAATAAATTGTCAAACTGTCAAAGTTGGACGATAACCTTGCATGGTGGGCTGTTGTGTTTACATAATTCATAGTCCAAGGCTGGTTCTTCTCTGACATGAAAATGGGCATTTCTGTCAATAATTCTTCGGTATATTTCGCGCGGTTGAGTAATGATAAGATTACGTCATCAAAATCTTGGTTCGATAAAATTGTAAGTGAATTTTGTTTAGTAGGTAAAGTAAGGTTCACATAGGTATAGGTTGAAGATTTTACTGTGATATTTTGATAAGTATTTTAAGTTGTGAACATATTTTAACATTGATTGATTGAACAGCGAACCAACTCGACCAGTGCGACAACGCCTTAAATAAACAGAAAGCAACGGCTGGAACGAGCTACCAACGCCAACCCACACTTTTAAACCTCAACGTTCATTGGCTGGATACAAATAACGCCACTTGCTACATCACGTGTACAAATATCCTCAACCGTTAGTATAAAAGAGCGTGCACAATCCAAATTCGTCAGTAGACGTAGGCTGAATAAAGCTTAAAGAATGAAAAGCTACTGAAGCTCAAACGAAACAAGACAAAACGAAGAAATTAACGAACAGATCACGAACATGTGAAAGCCAGTTGAAGGCTGAAGTGAACTCTTGGAAAACTACTACAAGAAGACGAACATTAAAAACTGATAGTTATTAGAGGTTGATTGTAAACGGTTCCCTATACATCGCGCAGAAAACCGAATAAAATTATATATACCTAACATAATTATGAATTATCACATTAGCCTAATAAGTATATTGTGCCTGGCTAAAAAATCCACTAAATCAAAATAGTTCGCGCCTGCCAAAATTGCCAAAGCGCCAAAGCTATTGTAACGTATTTAATTTTCATCCTCCTTGTACGAAATTTTCCAGAAATATAGAATATCATTTTTACAAACCAGTTGTCTTTTTTGTTGTTGAAATTTGTTACGTTTTTGGCTGGAAAATTACGTCACTAACCTGGACCAAAAACGTAAATACTAGCCAATACAAATACTAACTAGCCTACAATTCAAGGACTCTATTTTATTGTGGTGGCTTACAAGTTAATCAACTCTGCTGATGTTAAACTGTTTGCCATCTATCCTCTTGTCTATACAATTGATTAATTTTTCTTTCATTGGCGTGGTTTTCCCTGTCATTGCAACGTAATATAATCTCAAGTATTTTCCGTATTAATTACAAATCTCCTCAGTGTTATCGACCGCCGTCTGCTAAATTATCTAATCAACAAAACATTTAGTCACGCAATCATGGCGGTTGGCCGGAATTTTTCCGGCTCCCGCAAATTGATACTTTTTGCATACATTTATGTTGTAATTTGTGGAATATTTCATCCAAAAACCTGTACATCCACAAGTGTTTCCACCTGGCAAAGTTTTTATGTGTGCATAGAAGTCACAAGAGTAAAAAGATTCAACAATGTTGTCAAGCGTCGACGAGCTTCGAAACAGCGACCGTTAATAATCGTTTGTAACTGATTCTTGGATTGCGCCTTATTCTTTACGTCTTGTATACGGTGTTTTTCATCAAATTATCAGGGGATGTTGAAACTAACCCGGGACCCCAAGACGACGCGCATCGTGGTGTAAAAGATCTCGTTTTAAACGGAAGAAGTTTGACAAGTTCAGTTAAAACGGATATAACAACATAAAGGAAAGTAACCTTGAACGTTTTCAGAACCTGGTTTACTCCGACGATCTTGATATAGTCTGTGTTAATGAGACTTGGCTTTCAGGACATGTTTACAACGCCGAAATTCTACATTCGGGTTATTGTATTGTCAGAAAATATCGTAAGACGCGGGGAGGTGGTGTCTTGCTGGGAATTAAGACTGCTGTGTTTAAATCTGTGCGCGAAATCGAACATAACCACGATCTAGAGATTGCTATGGCTGAAATAACAACTGCGAAAGACATGAAATTGCTTATTTGTTCGTGTTATCACCCACCAGACGCTGATAAAACTTGGATTGATAAAACTTTTCTCCAAGATGTTTCCACACGTCATTCAAAAATTGTAATCGCTGGCGATTTCAATTTTCCGCGCGCGAGCTGGAACTCGCGAGAAAATGGTATTAACGTTAATGAGAACTCATTTATCAAATTATTAAATAACTTTTTCTGGGAACAACTAAACACAACTCCCACCAGAGGCGAAAACATTCTCGATCTTGTTATCACCAGTGTTCCCGACCGAGTCAAGATATGCGAATTTTTAAAACCAAGTGATTCAGACATTTTAACCGATCACAACGCCATTATTTTCGACCTGCTCCTCTCATACAATCCTTTCCCAAAGATAAAACGTTCAGTATTTGATTACCGACGCGCTGACATTGATGGTCTACGAAGGCATCTTCAATCCCTCGACCTCCGTCAACTTATATCAGAGAACGGAAATATCAACCAGGATTGGCTCGCGTGGAAAAATGCGTTTTTGGGCGCGGAATCGAAATTTGTGCCGACAAAAACACTACGAGGTCCAAACCATCTCCCTTGGATGAACAGTACAATACTTCACTACATCAAGAAGAAAATCTCCATAAGAACGAGAATTACAAGTTCCTGTCATACAAGTGAACGCCTCAAGCACAAATTTCGAGAGCTTCGCAGGACAATTAAAAGAATGTTGCGTGAAAGTCGCTTGGACTATATCAATTCAATCTGTGCATCTCGTGAACCCAATCCTAAACGTTTCTGGTCGTTTTTCAAGATTAAGTCTAAGGTATCTCATTTTCCGTTAAAAGTCTCGGTTAAATCTAGTGAAAATCAAAGAACGTATTCCAACAACAACGTAGACATTGTAAATACTTTTAACGAATATTTCGCCTCAATTTTTACGCATGACAACAATAGTGACCACAATCTAGGAGAACACTCGGATCCAGAAATTGCTTTGGAAGACATAACACTGACTAACGACGAAGTAATAACCGTATTAACTAATCTAAATAACAATAAAGCTCATGGTCCAGATGGAATCCCAGCACGTTTGTTGACGGAAACATCATCCCAAATCGATCCTTCACTCTGCCCTCTCTTCAACAAATCTTTACGTTGTGGTGTTCTTCCTGATGATTGGAAATTAGCGAATGTCGTACCAGCACACAAACGGGGTGAGAAATCCTATGTCGAGAACTACCGTCCAATCTCGTTGCTTTCCCTTATCTCCAAAGTCCTCGAGCGTTGCGTTTTCCATAACATCCAACATCATGTTTTTCAACAAATCAACCCTTGCCAACACGGTTTTGTTCCACGAAAGTCATGCGTAACGCAACTGATCGAAGTATTCGAACAGATAGGTCGGAAATTAGACAACGGTAAGCAGATAGACGTGATTTATCTGGACATGTCGAAGGCATTCGATAAAGTAAGTCACGCTCAGCTCATGCACATGCATTCGGGTTTCGAGGTAATCTTCTCAACTGGTTTTCATCCTACCTCAGCAATCGTTATCAGCAGACAACAATTGGCGGAGCAACATCAAGACTGTTAGCAGTGACATCCGGTGTACCGCAGGGCTCTATTCTCGGTAACAAGGGCGAATTTCGTTTTTGACCAATCAGAGCATTTGTTTACCTTTTGACGCTAAGCTAATCAGAACGCGTACATTGTTACTACTTCCGGCTTAGACGCGTATTTCAACACGAAAATTACGGTTGTAAATAAAGCCTTGGGGTGGGGGGTCTGTTTTTTTAATTTTTTGGACTTATTTCAATGAAATCCTATAAAATATAAAATTTTCGAAACATTTACCGCTGGGATTTGCGTCTCATCGCTTAGTTTTGAAATTATCCGCATTCAAAAAACGGCGTATGCAAGGTCACTCTCGCCGTAGGTCGAAAACGTGTGATGATTCCAAAGGAAGTGAAGCAAAAGCATATATCCGGAAATATTTAAGAGTGGCTCGAGGCATTTGATAAAGAAGGCATTTTCACTGCGATTTTGGAGTTAAATTTTCTGGCAATCGGTCACTACACGACTATAATTTTGCCAGCAGTGGCCATATAGCACTGAAGCAAAGTAGAAGAATCGCCGTTTATGACTGCCTCGTTGGCCCAAGCTTTCTGGTTTTGACTTGAGAGAATATTTGCAAATCGGACAAGCACTGATGTCTGGTTGGTTACACTGGAGGTGGAAAGAGTGTCTACAGCCTCGAAAATGCGACACAAAGGACTATCACGACTGCATTCGATCACTGATTTTTAGATCAATGCATTCGATTTTATCACATTTGCTGTATCAATGGAAATTGAAGGTATATACCTTATATATTTCACATATAAACATATACATTTCATGCTTATGATTCATATACATTTTACAGGCTGTCAATATATACATTTTACAGGCTGTCAATATACTAAAAGATTCATATTTTTTCGACTTATGGCATTGTCATCATGACAAGGCAATGTTAGTGGTTCTCTCTCATTTCATATATTGGCAAGAGTACCACATGTACCACACACTGTATCAAGCATTATTAGCTTTCAGCAAGCACCCTGTTGAAAATTTCGATCTCTTCTGTGGGCATGGACTAAGGGAGTTGAACTCAACCCGGGAGTTGAACTTAACCCGGGAGTTGAACTCAACCCCGGGGTTGAATTTAACCCCAGAGTTGAACTTAACCCCGGAGATGAACTCCACCCTGTTGACCGGGTTGAAATTTCAACAGTCTGTAATAGTAATATAAAACTCTATCAAAATCAAATGTGCAACTACATAACAAAATTGTCAAGCCAGGCCCAGTTCAACCCCGGGTTTCAGTTAGCAGGGACTCAGACTCGGGTTCAAAATGTTGTCATGTAATTGTTTCAACCCAGGGTTGAAATTATTCATGAGTTATTCAAGCATGTGTGGTAGTACTATTTATTACAAGAAAACAACATGGAGGCCAAGGAGCTGCTTTCTTTTACTTCCGGAAATCAATGCCTGGGAATGTACAGCATTTCAACCCCAGGGTTGAAATCGTCCATGTAATTGCAAAAAAATTCAACCCAGTTAATAGGGCTGAGTTCAACCCCAGGGTTGAAAGTGCACCATGTAATCAGCCCTTAATACCAAGTGCTGACAATGCTGAGCAAATTAGGCAAAGGATTGATAAATTATTGTATTTCATTTTTTCTCTATTTTTTATCTTTATCATGAAAAATAGCACACCCCCCTGCACCCCCTCTGGCCAGGGCTAGGGTACACCCAGGACTAGGGTGCTGGCAAGGGTGCACCCCCACCCCACACACACATCTTGAAATTCTGAAATCCAACAATCTTTGTCACCAAAGTTTATTACTTTTCTGACACCTGTGGGTGATCTTTATTTGACCGGAATATTTACCCCCACCTACAGGAATTTGACTGTTTTTCTTGTCATTTTTTCAAATCCCCTACTCTGTCGCGGCCTCCCCCACCACAGGATTTCCATTGATATGTGCATTACTGTCAGGAGTGCATGGGCAAAACAAGTAGACAAGAAAAGTGGAAACTAGAAAATTTGTTTGGATGCATGGTTGTCACCCAGTGGCATAGCCAGGGTTTACAAAGTAGGGGGGGGGGGGATGACTTGAGCGGCAAAGGCACGGACACTGTAGGGGGTCAAAATTCAGAGGCTCTGAATTTTGAAATTCAGAGAATCTGAAATGCCATTTTGTACATTTTGGGGCGAGATTTTACAAAATTCAGAAGATTATAACATAATTTGGTAGTCAAGAATACCTGTGTCTTCACTTATTAGATTGTGAATAATAAGCTGGCCATGAAATCAGATAAGTGTTACCTCCCCCCCCCCCAGTTTCTCAACGGATTTAAACATATCTCGAAGTTAGTTCTGAAGGAGAGTGTGGGGGGGGACTCATCCCACCAGTCCCTCCCCCCCCTGTAGCTATGCCACTGTTGTCACCACCAACCGAGTTGTTCCATTGGGCTTTTCATCAGTGGAAAGACCTCCTATAATCCAACAAGATAAGTTCAGTATAATTATACTGCATCACTATCAAGAGTTTAAAATGCTTTAGTAAATAGTTTTTGATTTCATGGTCATAAAAATATACAGTGGTCTTACTGTTTTCTATACAATTATATAAAACATATGGGAAAAACTGCACTCAAAAGCAAATAAGTAACCTTCTGTTGACTGACAATCTGGTGCTTGAAAAAATATGAATCTTTTAATATATTGACAGCCAGTAAAATGTATATGAATCATAAGCATGAAAATATGTATCTATATGTTTAATATATGTGAAATATATAAGGTATATACCTTCAATTTCCATTGAGACAGAAAATGTGATAAAATCGAATGCATTGATCTAAAAATCAGTGATCGAATGCAGTCGTGATAGTCCTTTGTGTCGCATTTTTCGAGGCTGTAGACACTCTTTCCACCTCGAGTGTAACCTACCAGACATCAGTGCTTGCCCGATTTGCAAATATTCTCTCAAGTCAAAACCAGAAAGCTTGGGCCAACGAGACAGTCATAAACGGCGATTCTTCTACTTTGCTTTAGTGCTATATGGCCACTGCTGGCAAAATTATAGTCGTGTAGTGACCGATTGCCAGAAAATTTAACTCCAAAATCGCAGTGAAAATGCCTTCTTTCTCAAATGCCTCGAACCACTCTTAAATATTTCCGGATATATGCTTTTGTTTCACTTCCTTTAGAATCATAACACGTTTTTGACCTACGGCCAGAGTGGCCTTGCATGCGGATAATTTCATGCGCATTTTTGAATGCGGATAATTTCAAAACTAAGCGATGAGACGCAAATCCCAGAGGCAAATTTTTTGAAAATTTTATACTTTATAGGATTTCATTGAAATAAGTCCAAAAAATTAAAAAACCAGACCCCCCCCCAAGGCTTTATTTACAACCGTAATTTTCGTGTTGAAATACGTGTCTAAACCGGAAGTAGTAACAATGTACGCGTTTTGATTGGCTTAGCGCCAAAAGGTAAGCAAATGCTCTGATTGGTCAAAAACGAAATTCGCCCTTGTTTACCAGCATACAGAAAGTTTCTTGCTTATATTATATATAAACGGTAATAATTAAATTAAAATTTGTCGGCATTTTTGAGTACGTGTACACTATAACGACGATAGTTGCACGCGGTTCTATCCGCTTATTTATGTGATATATGCCTGATTGTTTTAAAATACGATATAGATATTGGAGGTTTGCCACTCCGAAGATTATTGGTACCACACCCAGGGAAATTTTACGGACAACGTTTAATTAAGAATTTATCACAACAAATGTTATCACTGTACATTTGTAGCTGTTTATCTTTTACTCTATAGCTAGGCCAAATTCCGTACAACTCACGCAAAACTATCTAATATCATAAACCCAAACTTCGATTTCATGCATTAGAGACAAAAATGTTTTTATACAGTGACATGCGATGGATAGCTAGCATAAACACAACAACAATTCGTGACGTCCCAACAACTAGTCAAGGATGTTAGTGTACGAACCGTCGACAATCGTTTTTTGTTTAGACTTGTTTGCACTCACGTTCATACTCACAACAGTCGATTGATATAGCTATACACCGTGCTCGAGATGAACCCTCGTAGCTGTTGAAGAGTTTTTAAAGTTTCCAAATTGTTATATGGAAGTGAATTAGGACAAACCTAACCAATTGTTTGTGCGAATAAACAACAGAAACTATAAAATGATAAACTTAATTTTGCCCTGCGACTTTTTTCTTTTTAGGATCCATTTGATGACGTGTCAGACAAGATAAAGTCACCACTTCACGAGAAACAGAAGTTTTGTTTAAACAGCGGATTACAAAAGCTAAAAGTTGATCATTTTGTTCGCGAGTTGCTAGAATTCATTTTGCTTTACCTTAAGCATGTTCCTGAAGAGCAGTTACACTGGCCGTAAGTTCCCACAGAAGTCTTTTAATTGTAAATTAATTACATATGCGCAAGACTACGCAAAAGTTCTTTTTTAATTCAAGGTTTGTACATTACAAACGTTAAATTACAAGCATTACAATGAATACAAATAACGGTAATTAATTATTGATATAGGTAGATACTATAAGACAAAGAAGACGAACAATCAGAATATCAATTAATTAATACTTAATCGGCCTGTTGTTGCAATACTTGTATTAAAGGTAGGAAGAGCACCCATGAAAAAATAACCTGAGTTCTAATTGGACTGGAGTAGTGCAGTATACATGAAAAAAATACTGAGTTCTAATTGGATTAGAATAGTACAGTATATACTTGAAAAAATAGTCAGTTTTAAGTGGATTAGAGTAAAACAGTATACCATACATGAAAAAATACTCAGTTCTAATTTGATTAGAGTAGTGCAAATATTTTTGTATATTTCATATTTATTTTTAGTGCAAAGATTATGTGATCAAGTCACAACGTGACTCAACTAGGTTAGAGTAAACAATCCGGGGAGAGCGATTACAAATAATATTCTGTAGATCTGCGACGTGCGGTCAACATGAAATTTTATAAATCATCAAATTAGGATTTGGATTTCAGTCAAAAAGACAGAATTAGTCCTTACTTTTAATTTTTATTGGTCAGAATGAAGCAATCTGATTGGCTGAGGGGCCTTTCAGAGTGGGCCGGCTTTCTGCATCCGGCCCGCTCTGAAACACAACTGCTCGCTGTGAAATGCAACTGCCCGCTCTGGTTTTCGCGGCCAAAAATGAGGAGTGAGACAATTTTTAAACGAAAAATCTGCCCAAAACGTTTGAAAAACGTAGCCTAACGATAGTCAGATACGAAAATGAATTGCATCAAGCCCTGAAGACTTTATACTAAGCACGATGTACACCAGAATTGATGATATTTTGAGAGAAATGCGACTGAAAGTTGGAAAGTCATTTGACATGTATAAAACTTACGCCGAGAAAACGGCCACTTCAAAGCGAAAAATACAGCTTAATAAACATATAATGTAAAAGAAATGTTTTCCCAACTGCAGCAGTGAAAACAAGTCACGAATATATTCTCTACCCATTTGTGTCATGCATTTTTAACTGATATAAATATTGTAAACAAAGTAAAAGTTTGTGTTTAATTAAAAACACTTTTTTCAAGCATATTATCGTGAAACGACAAGAAAAAATACAAAAATATAAAAGTAACATACCTTTTTCATTGTCCTTTTAGTAGAAAAACGTTGATTACAACAAAACAGATTCATTTTTATGTGGTTTCAGGCCTTAAAATATCTTTTACAGGGCCGTCTGACAAAATGTCCGATGACGTTGAGTTTGGGTCGGACATATGTCCGATGGCCTTCAGTTCAGTTTTGACTCGGAAATAAGTCTGAATGACACAAATGAATATCAGCATGCACAATGTATTAATTCTGAACGGTAAATGTTGTGAAGATATTAAATAATTTGTGTCATTCATGTTTATTTCCAAGCCAAAATTAACTTTTTCGCCAGAACAGCAGTAAGAATTCGACAACTTAAGCCCGTTTTCCACTTCAACATTTCGCTCGCCGCCCCGCGCTTGATTAGCAACGTTAAACAACATTTCCAGTTCACTTTTTATACAATACTTAACTACGAGCCTCTATATAGTCCTGGACTATAGGTTACATTTTGATTTACGTTGGACAAAGCTACAGTTCGGTCAGACACCAATACTCTCGGGTCGGACAAACAATAAACCTCAATTTCACTTAGGTCGGACAGAATGTCCGGTGGCTTCCTCTCTACGTCGGACAATTTCACTAATGGGTCGGACAATGTCCGTGACCGACCGATATTTTAAGGCCTGGTGGTTTTGATCGGATCTGAACATGAACCCGTCGTTGTCAGAAGCAACTGAATTTGTCAAAGCCAAAACGCCAGACTTAAAACTTTTTATTTCAAAGCTTTTCTGCTACCATATTGATGAAAAAAGCATGTAAGTTTACTGAAACTATACGTCTTTTTGTGTGTTTCTTGCTAGTTTTCTCGAGTTTTCGTATTCGATCGTGTTTGTGTTTTATATATCTTTCAACATTTCAATTTCTGTCAGCCTCGCTTTAAAAATACACAACTGCACTGATCTCAAATTAATTCGCAAGCAACACTGGAAGTTTCAATGAATTTAATTTTTACATCTGATAAAAATAAACACGTTATTTATCGGCAAGGTCGGTTCGGATGAGAAAAACTGTGCCCTCGGTCTTGAAAACGTCCCTCGCCTTTCGGGTTCGGCCCGTTTTCAAGACAGTTTTTCTCTTCCGGACCTTGCAGCCGGTAAATAACATATATGTATTATACAATAATTGGAGAAACTAAAATAAAGTTAAACATATTAATTTTTACGATACAAGTGTGTAATGTACACGTAATGCACAACACAATCAAATTGAACAACACGTGCTGGACTGATGATGTATATGCGTTATTTGATTTTTATAATGGCAGAAGAGCCGCATATGGAATTGTGTGGAAAGAAACGATCGAATACACAATACTTACCCTGCTTTTTGTGGCTTATTATCTAACAAAGAAACAAAGCGATACATTACATAAATAAAGCGCCAGTGGTCATGATAGTTTTGTTATAAATGTACTTATCATTAGCATGACCAAATTACCGGATGCTGATTGGTTGAGAGGAGCACAACTATTTCATTAATTGTACTGCAGTACAATTAATGATTTTCCCAAAACAAACAAAATGGGGTAAAGGTATTTAAAACACAAACGTGAACTGAAATTGCCCAAGAGGAACTAGATGAAAATACGAGCAAAAGCACCAAATTTTGCTTTAACAAAAGAACTAAATCAAAATACGAACAAAAGCACAAAATTTTGGTTGAAAGACTGACAGGACTGGACTTTGGCGAGAGAATATGATGTTGACATTGAGAAGTATCCAATTTTGTCATGCTAATAATAAACAACTCCCCCAACTCGCCCCGGCGGCTCGTCCAATTTTGGCAAAATTTCCAAACATCATGCACTCGTACTATTAATTCCGAATTCTACTCGCCATCGCATGATTATACCTATACAAATTTTAAGAAGAACTTGCTTATATTGCCACACTGCTGTCATTGGTTGTAAATATAACATGGTAATTTTGATCCATGCACAAAACGGAGGTTTTGGGTTCTCTATATTATTTATTCTAGAAATACATGCATGCAGCAACCCTCGCATAAAACAAAAGTAGTCGCCATGGTAACGTGAAAAATATGAGAAAATAGTACGAGATAATTTTTTAACTAATTAAAGAATTATTGATTTTTATAATCTGGAATGTAGTTTTATGTGGCTTTTAATAGTCTACAATTTAATGTAAAATAGAACGGTAAAACGATTCGAAACTTTTCCGTGAAACTGCAGGGGAAACAGAGAAACTCGTTTTTCCGCACTAATTTGCCATGCTAGTTTTTGAGTTATATTTTGGTCACGTCATATTTGTTGTAGGTAAAAGACCAGTATAAACACACATAAAAACACGATACGCTGCATTAATTGTCCCAAATAAACAATAATTTTAATAATTACATTACAACTTCATGTAAAAACCACGTTGCATAAAAACATATTAATATTGAGTTAAGAATTTCGTAAAATTTCGCAGATACGAATGACATCGAAAATACAAAGCAAATACGGTATGCAATTTAATACTGAAATCAGTGGCGTAGCCAGAACGATAATTGGGGATGGGTACCATATTCATATATTCGTGTTCACATACCATAAAAACAATTGATTTCAAAAGAAATCACTAAAGCAGAACACGAATGCATGAATATGCCCCCCCCCCCCCCAATTATCGTTCTGGCTACGGCACTGACTAAAATGTTTATAACACTTAGCCTACGCAAGTCCCAAACAGAGTCCCAAGACAACGATTAGATTTATTAAAAACATCTAGTTCGTCTACGACAAAATTCGTGTTAATATGTATTTCACACTTTGTTTCACGGTTGACAACCACTAATTCATGCAACTGCAGGCTTGTTTGCAGTTAAAAGCAAAATATATGGTACAAATGTATTGTAAAACAGCAAAATACATCTTTGCAAAATGAAAAACATTTTTTTAATAAGCGCGAGCTTGTAATCGCGCATGCGAATAACGTCCATAAAGCCGGTTTTCCACTAGGCGGAATTTTGCGCGCGGAGCGGAATTTTTCTTTGTCTTGTGATTTCTCGGGTGGAACTAATTAGAAAAGACAAAGAGAAATTCCGCTCCGCGCGGAAAATTCCGCCTGGTGGAAAAGGGCCTTAACCGTCAATCACATAATGGGGAAACTTTGCACTTCGATATGTTCTCAAATACCCGGGTGTAAATAGTCGAGCGGAATTAGTACCCTCGCCTCGGGTTTCCGCCCCGAACGGTGTTGGCTCTGGAATTAAATGGGCGTAACTTTATTGTTTATATATAGACATATGAACAACTGAGTGTTCACATCGACATAATTTCACATGTTCAATATTGTACATTCATAAATTGACAATGCAACCAAATAGTTTATTTTCTGGATTACAGGATCAAACTGCTTAAGGGACCGGTCATAAAGTAAAAAGGGGGGGTGGGCTGGAAAAAATAGGGAGTGGGTCACTATTTTTGAGCACGGTTGAAGGGGTGGGTGATCGGAAGTTAAGCGCAATCATAAGGGTGGGCCATGTAAAAATATGCAGAAGATTGGGCCCCAGTCATTTTTTTTGTGTTAAAAATTTCCGCGCAAAGAACAAGATACCAAAGAACTAAGATTTTTTTGGGCTAAGTACCGAAATTTGGTATCAAAAATTAAGATAAAGTCCTTGGAAAGCAATAGACCTTTATAAAAAGGTTGACATCAGCAGGCTTGTGACGTAGTTTGCGGAGAAAATCCGGAAAGCTCAGAGTTGTTTATATATATATATATATATATATATATAT